AAACATCACGGGGTGGTGCGCATTGTATGGGTGTGTGTTACATTACATTCACTAGTAGGAGTGAGAAAATCATCACGTGGTGGGGCGCATTGTATGGGTGTGTGTTACATTACATTCACTAATAGGAGTGAGAAAAACATCACGGGGTGGTGCGCATTGTATGGGTGTGTGTTACATTACATTCACTAGTAGGAGTGAGAAAATCATCAAGTGGTGGGACGCATTGTATGGGTGTGTGTTACATTACATTCACTAGTAGGAGTGAGAAAAACATCACGGGGTGGTGCGCATTGTATGGGTGTGTGTTACATTACATTCACTAGTAGGAGTGAGAAAATCATCACGGGGTGGTGTGAATCGGAGGGTCTGAATTAGGATAGGCAGTGAGTAGCAATGTAGGATGGAGAAAAGCACCGCGGGGTGGTCAGCATGGGGAGTTCAGGGAACATGCAGTGGCAATGTAGGATAGGTTTCTGAAAAACATCGCGGGGTGTTTCGCATTCTATGGGTGTGGGTTACATTACATTCACTAGTAGGAGTGAGAAAAACATCATGGGGTGGTGTGAATCGGAGGGTCTGAATTAGGATAGGCAGAGAGTGGCAATGTAGGATGGAGAAAAGCACCGCGGGGTGGTCAGCATGGGGAGGTCAGGGAACATGCAGTGGCAATGTAGGAGAGGTTTCTGAAAAACATCGCGGGGTGGTGTGCATTGTATGGGTGTGTGTTACATTACATTCACTAGTAGGAGTGAGAAAAACATCACGGGGTGGTGCGCATTGTATGGGTGTGTGTTACATTACATTCACTAGTAGGAGTGAGAAAAACATCACGGGGTGGTGTGTATCGGAGGGTCTGAATTAGGATAGGCAGTGAGTGGCAATGTAGGATGGAGAAAAGCACCGCGGTGTGGTCAGCATGGGGAGGTCAGGGAACATGCAGTGGCAATGTAGGATAGGTTTCTGAAAAACATCGCGGGGTGGTGTGCATTGTATAGGTGTGTGTTACATTACATTCACTAGTAGGAGTGAGAAAAACATCACGGGGTGGTGCGCATTTTATGGGTGTGTGTTACATTACATTCACTAGTAGGAGTGAGAAAATCATCACTTGGTGGGGCACATTGTATGGGTGTGTGTTACATTACATTCAATAGTAGGAGTGAGAAAAACATCACGGGGTGGTCTGAATCGGAGGGTCTGAATTAGGATAGGCAGTGAGTGGCAATGTAGGATGGAGAAAAGCACCGCGGGGTGGTCAGCATGGGGAGGTCAGGGAACATGCAGTGGCAATGTAGGATAGGTTTCTGAAAAACATCGCGGGGTGGTGCGCATTGTATGGGTGTGTGTTACATTACATTCACTAGTAGGAGTGAGAAAAACATCACGGGGTGGTGTGAATCTGAGGGACTGAATTAGGATAGGCACTGAGTGGCAATGTAGGATGGAGAAAAGCACCGCGGGGTGGTCAGCATGGGGAGGTCAGAGAACATGCAGTGGCACTGTAGGATAGGTTTCTGAAAAACATCGCGGGGTGGTGTGCATTGTATGGGTGTGTGTTACATTACATTCACTAGTACGAGTGAGAAAAACATCACGGGGTGGTGTGAATCGGAGGGTCTGAATTAGGATAGGCAGTGAGTGGCAATGTAGGATGGAGAAAAGCACCGCGGGGTGGTCAGCATGGGGAGGTCAGGGAACATGCAGTGGCAATGTAGGATAGGTTTCTGAAAAACATCGCGGGGTGGTGCGCATTGTATGGGTGTGTGTTACATTATATTCACTAGTAGGAGTGTGAAAAACATCACGGGGTGGTGCGCATTGTATGGGTGTGTGTTACATTACATTCACTAGTAGGAGTGAGAAAAACATCACGGGGCGGTGCGCATTGTATGGGTGGGTGTTACATTACATTCACTAGTACGAGTGAGAAAAACATCACGGGGTGGTGCGCATTGTATGGGTGTGTGTTACATTACATTCACTAGTAGTTGTGAGAAAAACATCACGGGGTGGTGTGAATCGGAGGGTCTGAATTAGGATAGGCAGTGAGTGGCAATGTAGGATGGATAAAAGCACCGAGGACTGGTCAGCATGGGGAGGTCAGGGAACATGCAGTGGCAATGTAGGATAGGTTTCTGAACAACATCGCGTGGTGGTGCCCATTATGGGTGTGTGTTAAATGACATTCACTAGTAGGAGTGAGAAAAACATCCCGGGGTGGTGTGAATCGGAGGGTCTGAATTAGGATAGGCAGTGAGTGGCAATGTAGGATGGAGAAAAGCACCGCGGGGTGGTCAGCATGGGGAGTTCAGTGAACATGCAGTGGCAATGTCGGATAGGTTTCTGAAAAACATCGCGGGGTGGTGCGCATTCTATGGGTGTGTGTTACATTACATTCACTAGTAGGAGTGAGAAAAACATCAGGGGTGGTGTGAATCGGAGGGACTGAATTAGGATAGGCAGTGAGTGGCAATGTAGGATGGAGAAAAGCACCGCGGGGTGGTCAGCATGGGGAGGTCAGGGAACATGCATTGGCAATGTAGGATAGGTTTCTGAAAAACATCGCGGGGTGGTGTGCATTGTATGGGTGTGTGTTACATTACATTCACTAGTAGGAGTGAGAAAAACATCACGGGGTGGTGCGCATTGTATGGGTGTGTGTTACATTACATTCACTAGTAGGAGTGAGAAAATCATCACTTGGTGGGGCGCATTGTATGGGTGTGTGTTACATTACATTCACTAGTAGGAGTGAGAAAAACATCACGGGGTGGTGCGCATTGTATGGGTGTGTGTTACATTACATTCACTAGTAGTAGTGAGAAAAACATCACGGGGTGGTGTGAATCGGAGGGTCTGAATTAGGATAGGCAGTGAGTGGCAATGTAGGATGGAGAAAAGCACCGCGGTGTGGTCAGCATGGGGAGGTCAGGGAACATGCAGTGGCAATGTAGGATAGATTTCTGAAAAACATCGCGGGGTGGTGTGCATTGTATGGGTGTGTGTTACATTACATTCACTAGTAGGAGTGAGAAAATCATCACGTGGTGGGGCGCATTGTATGGGTGTGTGTTACATTACATTCACTAATAGGAGTGAGAAAAACATCACGGGGTGGTGCGCATTGTATGGGTGTGTGTTACATTACATTCACTAGTAGGAGTGAGAAAATCATCAAGTGGTGGGACGCATTGTATGGGTGTGTGTTACATTACATTCACTAGTAGGAGTGAGAAAAACATCACGGGGTGGTGCGCATTGTATGGGTGTGTGTTACATTACATTCACTAGTACGAGTGAGAAAAACATCACGCGGTGGTGCGCATTGTATGGCAGTGTGGTACATTACGTTCACTAGTAGGAGTGAGAAAAACATCAAGTGGTGGTGTCAATCGGAAGGTCTGAATTAGGATAGGCAGTGAGTGGCAATGTACGATGGAGAAAAGCACCGCGGGTTGGTCAGCATGGGGAGGTCAGGGAACATGCAGTGGCAATGTACGATAGGTTTCTGAAAAACATCGCGGGGTGGTGCGCATTGTATGGGTGTGTGTTACATTACATTCACTAGTAGGAGTGAGAAAAACATCACGGCGTGGTGCGCATTATATGGGTGTGCGTTACATTACATTCACTAGTAGGAGTGAGAAAAACATCACGGGGCGGTGCGCATTGTATGGGTGTGTGTTACATTACATTCACTAGTACGAGTGAGAAAAACATCACGGGGTGGTGCGCATTGTATGGGTGTGTGTTACATTACATTCACTAGTAGGAGTGAGAAAAACATCACGGGGTGGTGTGAATCGGAGGGTCTGAATTAGGATAGGCAGTGAGTGTCGATGTAGGATGGAGAAAAGCACCGCGGGGTGGTCAGCATGGGGAGGTCAGGGAACATGCAGTGGCAATGTAGGATAGGTTTCTGAAAAACATCGCGGGGTGGTGTTCATTGTATGGGTGTGTGTTACATTACATTCACTAGAACGAGTGAGAAAAACATCACGGGTTGGTGTGAATCGGAGGGTCTGAATTAGGATAGGCAGTGAGTGGCATTGTAGGATGGAGAAAAGCACTGCGGTGTGGTCAGCATGGGGAGGTCAGGGAACATGCAGTGGCAATGTAGGATAGGTTTCTGAAAAACATCATGGGGTGGTGCGCATTGCTTGGGTGGGTGTTACATGACATTCACTAGTAGGAGTGAGAAAAACATCACGGTGTGGTGCGCATTGTACGGGTGTGTGTTACATTACATTCACTAGTAGGAGTGAGAAAAACATCATGGGGCGGTGCGCATTGTATGCGTGTGTGTTACATTACATTCACTAGTACGAGTGAGAAAAACATCACGGGGTGGTGGGCATTGTATGGGTGTGTGTTACATTACATTCACTAGTAGGAGTGAGAAAAACATCACGGTGTGGTGTGAATCGGAGGGTCTGAATTAGGATAGGCAGTGAGTGGCAATGTAGGATGGAGAAAAGCACCGAGGACTGGTCAGCATGGGGAGGTCAGGGAACATGCAGTGGCATTGTAGGATAGGTTTCTGAACAACATTGCGTGGTGGTGCGCATTATGGGTGTGTGTTAAATGACATTCACTAGTAGGAGTGAGAAAAACATCCCGGGGTGGTGTCAATCGGAGGGTCTGAATTAGGATAGGCAGCGAGTGGCAATGTATAATGGAGAAAAGCACCGCGGGGTGGTCAGCATGGGGAGGTCAGGGAACATGCAGTGGCAATGTAGGATAGTTTTCTGAAAAACTTCGCGGGGTGGTGCGCATTGTATGGGTGTGTGTTACATTACATTCACTAGTAGGAGTGAGAAAAAAATCAAGGGGTTGTGTGAATCGGAGGGTCTGAATTAGGATAGGCAGTGAGTGGCAATGTAGGATGGAGAAAAGCATCGCGGGGTGGTCAGCATGGGGAGGTCAGGGAACATGCAGTGGCAATGTAGGATAGGTTTCTGAAAAACATCGCGGGGTGGTGCGCATTGTATGGTGTTGGGAGCCGTGGCACTGTCAAGTCATCAGACGCGGTGATTGCGAGGCCTGTGGGAAAGTACAAAAGCCTGGGCTAGATTACCCCTCTCATCGAGCCCGCCTGTGTGGCACCTGTTTCTTATCACCCCACTAAGTTCCCGCCTCACAGGGTAGTCTGCCTAGCTATTAATCCTATATATAGCCAGTGCCTCCACCCCCGAGAGAGAGAGAGGCACAAAGGGAGCCGCGGGGAGCGGACCGGTAGAGGCTTCGAGAGAGACTGAAGCACAAAAGGAGCCGCGGGGAGCGGACCGGTAGAGGCTTCGGGGCAGACTGAAGCACGGAAGGAGCCGCGGGGAGCGGACCGGTAGAGGCTTCGGGGCAGACTGTATAAGGAGAGAATAAAGAAAAGCCTGACCACCGCCAGACCTTGTCGTGTGTCTTTCCTGCCGGCCGGGAGCGGACATCGACGTTTGGAGGCCCGCCCGGGGATTGATCAACCCCGAGACGCGGTGGTGGACTGCATTCTCCTACACAGTGCTGCAGCTGCAGGACAGGTGAGTAGAGGATAAGCCTGGGCCCTGGGTGGCGCGCACCTACAGGGTTTGTAGACTCCTCTCAACCTCACGCGTAAGTGGCGGGTTTCTTGGGCCTCACGCGGTGAGTATGAAACATAACACCAGAACTTAAGGTAATAAAAGAGTGTAAAACATAAACATAGAAGTAAAAATAACAGAAGATATATTAAAAATGGGAAACATGCCAAGTAAAGATACACAGCCTTGGTGTTGGTCCTTCGGAGACTCCTAAAGTCCAAGGACCTCAAGGTGGGGTGTAAGACTTTAGAAAATTTCCTTGCAGAGATTGACAGCTTTGCTCCCTGGTTTCTGCCTACAGGGCATGTAAACCTGCCCTCCTGGGAAAAGTTGGGCAGAGACCTTTCCCTAGCAGAGCGGGAGGGTAGAGCTTCAGTCTCTGCTCGTCCATTGTGGGAAATGATACACACGTGCCTAAAGAGTGAGGGTAGTTACGGGGGGAGCTCTCAAGAACTTGTAGAAGTACGCGAGGTGTTTGAACAGGCACAGTCAGGAAGCTCCCGAGAAGGGTCCGTCAAGGAGGGCAGAGATACAAAAGAGGAAGCCGAGGCGCGGTTTGTGTCTTTCCGCAGGAATCGGGACGAGAGCCAATGTGGGTCCCAGAGAGGTTGACGCGACAAGTCCCTCGACTGAAGATCAGGCCTGTTCCACCAGAGGCCAACCGCAGACCCAACAACAAGATGAGCCCTAAAAGAACTGCAGGACAATCCCTTTTTGGGGGCCTGGAACGGCTTGCTCCCCTATGTGCTACCCTTGTATACGCATGGCTCGCTCGCATGGCCTACGACCGCGTTTAAAAGTGACAGGCTTCCCACATTCTCCTCCCTAGACAACAACATGTAGCAGGGTGGGTGAGTCAATGACGGGTAAGAGCGTGCCTCCCCAGCACGACTCAACCTAAGCCAGGCCCTACCCCGTTCCGCTCGAAAGCCGCTGGATTGTTAGATAAATTTCTCTCCGAGGGGATTCGTGGAGAGAAATGAGTGCATGCCTATGTGCAACCAGGTTCCGTCCGGTTCATTCCTGGCCCTAGAAAAAAGGACGAGGGCCTCAGGGCCTTGGTGGACCCTGGGACGGCCGACCAGGGTCTACGCTAAGGGCCTACGGTGGGCCTCAGTTCGGGGCATAGGCCTCTGCACTCTATCCAGGACGGGCTGCGATGCGCGTAGCCATCATTTAAAATAAAATAGGGGGAGATGTTGGGAGCCGTGGCACTGTCAAGTCATCAGACGCGGTGATTGCGAGGCCTGTGGGAAAGTACAAAAGCCTGGGCTAGATTACCCCTCTCATCGAGCCCGCCTGTGTGGCACCTGTTTCTTATCACCCCACTAAGTTCCCGCCTCACAGGGTAGTCTGCCTAGCTATTAATCCTATATATAGCCAGTGCCTCCACCCCCGAGAGAGAGAGAGGCACAAAGGGAGCCGCGGGGAGCGGACCGGTAGAGGCTTCGAGAGAGACTGAAGCACAAAAGGAGCCGCGGGGAGCGGACCGGTAGAGGCTTCGGGGCAGACTGAAGCACGGAAGGAGCCGCGGGGAGCGGACCGGTAGAGGCTTCGGGGCAGACTGTATAAGGAGAGAATAAAGAAAAGCCTGACCACCGCCAGACCTTGTCGTGTGTCTTTCCTGCCGGCCGGGAGCGGACATCGACAGTATGGGTGTGTGTTACATTACATTCACTAGTAGGAGTGAGAAAAACATCACGGGGTGGTGCGCATTGTATGGGTGTGTGTTACATTACATTCACTAGTAGGAGTGAGAAAATTATCAAGTGGTGGGGCGCATTGTATGGGTGTGTGTTACATTACATTCACTAGTAGGAGTGAGAAAAACATCACGGGGTGGTGTGAATCGGAGGGTCTGAATTAAGATAGGCAGTGAGTGGCAATGTAGGATGGAGAAAAGCACCACGGGGTGGTCAGCATGGGGAGGTCAGGGAACATGCAGTCTCAATGTAGGATAGGTTTCTGAAAAACATCGCGGGGTGGTGCGAATTGTATGGGTGTGTGTTACATTACATTCACTAGTAGGAGTGAGAAAAACATCACGGGGTGGTGCTCATTGTATGGGTGTGTGTTACATTACATTCACTAATAGGAGGGAGAAAAACATCACGGGGTGGTGTGAATCGGAGGGTCTGTATTAGGATAGGCAGTGAGTGGCAATGTAGGATGGAGAAAAGCACCGCGGGGTGGTCAGCATGTGGAGGTCAGGGAACATGCAGTGGCAATGTAGGATAGGTTTCTGAAAAACATCGCGGGGTGGTGCGCATTGTATGGGTGTGTGTTACATTATATTCACTAGTAGGAGTGAGAAAAACATGACGGGGTGGTGTGAATCGGAGGGTCTGAATTAGGATAGGCAGTGAGTGGCAATGTAGGATGGAGAAAAGCACAGCGGGGTGGTCAGCATGGGGAGGTCAGGGAACATGCAGTGGCAATGTAGGATAGTTTTCTGAAAAACTTCGCGGGGTGGTGCGCATTGTATGGGTGTGTGTTACATTACATTCACTAGTAGGAGTGAGAAAAAAATCAAGGGGTTGTGTGAATCGGAGGGTCTGAATTAGGATAGGCAGTGAGTGGCAATGTAGGATGGAGAAAAGCATCGCGGGGTGGTCAGCATGGGGAGGTCATGGAACATGCAGTGGCAATGTAGGATAGGTTTCTGAAAAACATCGCGGGGTGGTGCGCATTGTATGGGTGTGTGTTACATTACATTCACTAGTAGGAGTGAGAAAAACATCACGGGGTGGTGCGCATTGTATGGGTGTGTGTTACATTACATTCACTAGTAGGAGTGAGAAAATTATCAAGTGGTGGGGCGCATTGTATGGGTGTGTGTTACATTACATTCACTAGTAGGAGTGAGAAAAACATCACGGGGTGGTGTGAATCGGAGGGTCTGAATTAAGATAGGCAGTGAGTGGCAATGTAGGATGGAGAAAAGCACCACGGGGTGGTCAGCATGGGGAGGTCAGGGAACATGCAGTCTCAATGTAGGATAGGTTTCTGAAAAACATCGCGGGGTGGTGCGAATTGTATGGGTGTGTGTTACATTACATTCACTAGTAGGAGTGAGAAAAACATCACGGGGTGGTGCGCATTTTATGGGTGTGTGTTACATTACATTCACTAGTAGGAGTGAGAAAATCATCACTTGGTGGGGCACATTGTATGGGTGTGTGTTACATTACATTCAATAGTAGGAGTGAGAAAAACATCACGGGGTGGTCTGAATCGGAGGGTCTGAATTAGGATAGGCAGTGAGTAGCAATGTAGGATGGAGAAAAGCACCGCGGGGTGGTCAGCATGGGGAGGTCAGGGAACATGCAGTGGCAATGTAGGATAGGTTTCTGAAAAACATCGCGGGGTGGTGCGCATTGTATGGGTGTGTGTTACATTACATTCACTAGTAGGAGTGAGAAAAACATCACGGGGTGGTGTGAATCTGAGGGACTGAATTAGGATAGGCACTGAGTGGCAATGTAGGATGGAGAAAAGCACCGCGGGGTGGTCAGCATGGGGAGGTCAGAGAACATGCAGTGGCACTGTAGGATAGGTTTCTGAAAAACATCGCGGGGTGGTGTGCATTGTATGGGTGTGTGTTACATTACATTCACTAGTACGAGTGAGAAAAACATGACGGGGTGGTGTGAATCGGAGGGTCTGAATTAGGATAGGCAGTGAGTGGCAATGTAGGATGGAGAAAAGCACCGCGGGGTGGTCAGCATGGGGAGGTCAGGGAACATGCAGTGGCAATGTAGGATAGGTTTCTGAAAAACATCGCGGGGTGGTGCGCATTGTATGGGTGTGTGTTACATTATATTCACTAGTAGGAGTGTGAAAAACATCACGGGGTGGTGCGCATTGTATGGGTGTGTGTTACATTACATTCACTAGTAGGAGTGAGAAAAACATCACGGGGCGGTGCGCATTGTATGGGTGGGTGTTACATTACATTCACTAGTACGAGTGAGAAAAACATCACGGGGTGGTGCGCATTGTATGGGTGTGTGTTACATTACATTCACTAGTAGTTGTGAGAAAAACATCACGGGGTGGTGTGAATCGGAGGGTCTGAATTAGGATAGGCAGTGAGTGGCAATGTAGGATGGATAAAAGCACCGAGGACTGGTCAGCATGGGGAGGTCAGGGAACATGCAGTGGCAATGTAGGATAGGTTTCTGAACAACATCGCGTGGTGGTGCCCATTATGGGTGTGTGTTAAATGACATTCACTAGTAGGAGTGAGAAAAACATCCCGGGGTGGTGTGAATCGGAGGGTCTGAATTAGGATAGGCAGTGAGTGGCAATGTAGGATGGAGAAAAGCACCGCGGGGTGGTCAGCATGGGGAGTTCAGTGAACATGCAGTGGCAATGTCGGATAGGTTTCTGAAAAACATCGCGGGGTGGTGCGCATTCTATGGGTGTGTGTTACATTACATTCACTAGTAGGAGTGAGAAAAACATCAGGGGTTGTGTGAATCGGAGGGACTGAATTAGGATAGGCAGTGAGTGGCAATGTAGGATGGAGAAAAGCACCGCGGGGTGGTCAGCATGGGGAGGTCAGGGAACATGCATTGGCAATGTAGGATAGGTTTCTGAAAAACATCGCGGGGTGGTGTGCATTGTATGGGTGTGTGTTACATTACATTCACTAGTAGGAGTGAGAAAAACATCACGGGGTGGTGCGCATTGTATGGGTGTGTGTTACATTACATTCACTAGTAGGAGTGAGAAAATCATCACTTGGTGGGGCGCATTGTATGGGTGTGTGTTACATTACATTCACTAGTAGGAGTGAGAAAAACATCACGGGGTGGTGCGCATTGTATGGGTGTGTGTTACATTACATTCACTAGTAGTAGTGAGAAAAACATCACGGGGTGGTGTGAATCGGAGGGTCTGAATTAGGATAGGCAGTGAGTGGCAATGTAGGATGGAGAAAAGCACCGCGGTGTGGTCAGCATGGGGAGGTCAGGGAACATGCAGTGGCAATGTAGGATAGATTTCTGAAAAACATGGCGGGGTGGTGTGCATTGTATGGGTGTGTGTTACATTAAATTCACTAGTAGGAGTGAGAAAATCATCACGTGGTGGGGCGCATTGTATGGGTGTGTGTTACATTACATTCACTAATAGGAGTGAGAAAAACATCACGGGGTGGTGCGCATTGTATGGGTGTGTGTTACATTACATTCACTAGTAGGAGTGAGAAAATCATCAAGTGGTGGGACGCATTGTATGGGTGTGTGTTACATTACATTCACTAGTAGGAGTGAGAAAAACATCACGGGGTGGTGCGCATTGTATGGGTGTGTGTTACATTACATTCACTAGTACGAGTGAGAAAAACATCACGCGGTGGTGCGCATTGTATGGCAGTGTGGTACATTACGTTCACTAGTAGGAGTGAGAAAAACATCAAGTGGTGGTGTCAATCGGAAGGTCTGAATTAGGATAGGCAGTGAGTGGCAATGTACGATGGAGAAAAGCACCGCGGGTTGGTCAGCATGGGGAGGTCAGGGAACATGCAGTGGCAATGTACGATAGGTTTCTGAAAAACATCGCGGGGTGGTGCGCATTGTATGGGTGTGTGTTACATTACATTCACTAGTAGGAGTGAGAAAAACATCACGGCGTGGTGCGCATTATATGGGTGTGCGTTACATTACATTCACT